GGGAGGGGGGGGCGGAAGGGGGGAAGAGGGGGGAGGAGGGGGGGAGAGGAGGGGGGGGGGGGGGGCATAACAGAGAGGTTTCAAGCAGAGGGGAGTTCCAACACAGATAACGGCACTGATTGCTACTACATGTTTAAGAATAGTCGGGCGTAAGGGATTTTTTTTTCTTTTTTTTTTTATAGGCAATTTGAAGGGAAAAAAAAAGAAAAAAAAAGAGTAGCCAATTGGCGCGCTTTGCGTTGATCGTTAGCGACCGTCTATCTTCGAGTGCCATAGGCGGAAGTGAATTTTTTAATTCGGGCAAAATGACCGCGCAGCATTTTTTTTTATTTTATTTTTTCGAGATACCATTGTTGATCTGACTGGCCCCAGGTAATTCACAATTTTTTTTTTTTCTCTGTTCATTTGACTGCAACTGGATTCGAACAAGGGTCTGTATTTTAGCAGGTTGCGGGTGTACCAACTGAGTTCCCTTCTTCCTCCCCCTCAAGATTGCAACAGACGGTCATTATACCTGTATTTAGACTTTAAGATGCCCCAAATACATACAGCTTTAACGACCGTGTGTTGTTCAAAACGGGGGAAGAAGGTTGGCTCGTGGGTTAAAAAAAAAAAAAAAAAAAGGTAGGCTCGTGGGTTAATCGCGCAGCTTGACAGCGATGGGAACAACACCAAGGGAAAGCTGAGTAGCTCTCCCGCTCAAAAGACGACCCGTCTTGCCCCGAATAGAACGCCCGGTCATTATATAGCTCTAATTGGGACGACTTCCAGTCTAGATACGTCTATAATGACGGGGCGTTCTATTCGAGTGAAGAAGGTAATCCTCTGTTTGTACGCAGCATACACACGCATCTGGAAGGGAGGGAGAGAAGGGTGGGGGGGGAAGGAGGGTGGGGGGGAGAGGGAGGTCAGTAGGGGGGCGTTGAGCATCAAAAGGAGGAGAAAGCAGAGGAAGCGGACTAAGCAAGCCATGGCTGAGACTTTCCCTTTTTTTTTAAGGGTGCCCCCTCCCCCCCCCCAACACTCCCCCCCCACCCCCAAAAACAACCATTATGTCATCACCCATTATCTGAGCGAGTAAAGAAGGGAAGAAGATGGCATCAGAGAAGAAGGGGATAAGAGAAGAGCACAGCCAAAATCTGGGGGATGTCCTTCGGGGCATCCATGAAAATTGGAACGATACAGAGGAGGAAGATTAGAATTGCCCCTGCGCATTCAAGGAGGACACGCACATAAATCGAGAAAAATGGTCCAAAAAAGACTCCAAATTTTTAAAAAAAAAACAAAAAAAACGGGGGATGGCGGAGCCGAGGAAGACGAAAGAAAGAGAAATACGGATCTGCCTTTGCCGGGGCTCGATCCGTGGACCTCCTGCTGGGCACCGGACGGTTTTTGCTTTTCTGGCATGCCCTCGGTATCTGCACGTTTCACATTTCTGTCCCTTCATTCTAGCAGTCCGTTCGACTTATTTGTTTATTTATTTTTTTAATTTGGACCATTTCTCGATTTCTGCGTGTCATCCTTGATTGCGCAGGGGCCATTTGCTAATTACCCTTCTGTGTATCGTTCCAATTTTAACGGACGTCCCGAAGGACAGTTCGACGGTTGACGCCAATCGGCATTGGGCCCGTTCTTAAAAAAAAAAAAAAAAAAAAAAAAAAAAAGGCATTACACTCTGGCAGATTGATTATGAACCGGACGAGCACTGATCGGACCGCTGACAGAGTATTGCACTTTTCTTCTTTTTTTTTTTTTTCGAAACAACCCGAACAGATGCTAGGGATGCGGGTTCACTTTTTTTTCCTTCCCTTTTTATCTTTCTCTTTTTAACGATAGCCTCATGTTGCTATTGCCGTGCAAAATGAATGTCAGCGTTGTCTGCCCTCTGTGTCAACTTATAATCACACACAAGGAGAGAGAGAGAGAGAGAGAGAGAGAGAGAGAGAGAGAGAGAGAGAGAATGGTGCCATGGAGAGCGAGCGAGCGAGAGAGAGAGGGAGAGACAGAGAGAGACAGAATGGTGCCATGGAGCGAGAGAGAGAGGCAGAGAGAGACAGAATGGTGCCATGGAGCGAGAGCGAGAGCGAGAGCGAGCGAGAGAGAGAGAGAGAGAGAGAGAGAGAGAGAGAGAGAGAGAGAGAGAGAGAATGATGCCATGGAGAGAGAGAGAGAGAGAGAGAGAGAGAGAGAGAGAGAGAGAGGCCATGGAAAAATCCTGATGGTGTTAGATTGTAAATAAATTGATATAAAATAAGTGCGCAGTGTCATTGTCATGGCCATGTACGTTGAAACTTGCAGTTGTCCAATTCCCAAATCCTTTACTTACTTAATAATCGTTTTTTAAGGGTGGAAAACGGGGCATCAAAGGAACAGAAGATTCGAAGAGAAAAGAGAATAAAAAGAGAAGTCATGGGAATTGAGTTCTTCGTGACATCTAATAGTGTATCTATCACAATTGGAACGACACAGATAAAAAGAAGATTCTCATGCCCCCCCTGTGCAAGGAGACATGCATAATTTTTTTTTTTTTTTTTTTTTTTTT